TGTCTTTCACTTTCTCCTTTAATACTTTTTCTTCTGATTCCACAGTAGGTAGGGTTTTTTGGATTTTTTTTTTGGTTGGTTGGTGGTTTTTTTGGTTGGTTTTTGTTTGTTTTTTTTTGGGGGGGGGGTGGTGGTGGTTTGTTTGTTTTTTTTTTAATCCTTGCTTTGACAACACTTACTCTGTTCAATTTATCCCAAACATATACTTGCTTCTGCATCACAGAGTTATACTATGACATACTTAAATCAAGGAGTTGTGTTCCCCAACCCCTCATTTCAGCATTATCAGTTATGGAAGTCTCAAAACAATTAAGGTTTCAAACACAGTAGATCTATGGATAGTAAAGAATTAATCTAGAATGAATATAGAGATCATCTAAACACTAACGATTTACTGGAATTCATTAGTTTAAGATGCTAATCCAATGGTGTCCAGGATGCTTCTATAGTCCTCACAAAACAAGACATATTCAACAATATTATGAGTTGTTTAGTAAAATTTTGTGAAAGACAGGACAAAGCCTTATTCTGATGCAACTGCATGTAAAATTTAATATACTGTTACAAGCTGTAAATGTGTCACTGTGAAAGAATGGTCAAAATATTTCCATCCTGTAATATGAGATTAGATAAACTAGAGCATTAATTAAAAAAAACATATTTGCCCCATGCATAAAATATTTTTAAGCAATTAACATTTGAATGTTTTTCTAAAAAACTTTAAAACAACAACATCAGAACAGAGATCAGAGGTGTTAAAGTCTATTATTTCCACTAAAACACTAGATGCTTTTGTTTAGGGAACCCATCCACTAAACTCCAGTCAATAAGTTGCATCAAAAGAAGTCCATGTCACATATTACAGGTACATAGACACAGTTACAGCATATACAAGCACAAAACATTAACACAACAACATCATCCAACAACTCCCAAAACAAATAACACATATTAGCATGCTGGCACACTTGGTGGCAAACCCTTTTCTTGCTGGGTAGATTCTTTATCATAGAAGAGATGCAGAATATTCATTGGTTCCAAATCCTATAATCATCCAACAACACTACGTTACTGACAAAGAGTTCATAATTTATGCTTTAAGTTCACTTAGTTAAAGCAATTATAGAAAATCTTACCATTCTTACTATTTGGCCAAGAAGAGTTTTCTTCGAGTATTACACTCTTCAGGCTTGAGCACCATAATTACAATATCTCCATCTAGAATGCTTCCATAAATTGAATTACCATAGCTGTGTGGATCTCTTGCCCTAAAACCTACAAAGGGGAACTTACAAAATATACATATCATGGGAACAGAGGAGTTACAGACAATATTACTTTTCTTACACGGCAAAGAGTTAGTGCATCATGTTCTGAGTCCTAGATATGGGACAAATTTTGACTTTTGATACATTTAAGAACCCCATTCAAAGATGGTGCATCTCAAGATTTGCCCAGATGATGAAAGTTTGGACTTTGGATCATAGTTTTTGGAATCAACAAAGCTAATTCCTTCTTCTTTAAATACACTACCTATAAAAATATCAATTATGAAAAGCACGCTAAATTGGTCAACAAGTGCAGGGAGCATGCAGAGTCTCCCTCTGTTTTGCAGCATTCAAGATTATCCCTGCATACTGTGTTGCTGTACTTGTTACAGATGCTACTCTCTTTTCTGCAGCTCATACAACAGGTACATCATCCACCTTTTCTTTGCAGAGGCACCAACTCTTAGACTTTTCTGCCATGTCTCTGCATTAAGGTAAGTTCAAAGGGCAAAATACATATAGACTGCTACCAGTCAGCTCTGGCTGTATTACAAATCTTTACAGAACACTGTATTTCCAATTTGTTTGTATTTTAAAACTCTGTTAAAGCAGCATAACATTCAGCAAGACAAATACTTCCTATTGTACTACTAACTTGTAGTTAGTAGTCTATAAGTGCATTGTTTTCAAACTTTTGAGCTCTATACTGATGTTTTTCAAGGATCTTTAAAAGTAGCACTACTGATTAGAAGGCATAATCACATCTATCAGCATAACAAACACCACTTTTTTTTCCTTCTGTTTATTTTGAAGAAAGACTTTGATCCTGTTTCCTTATTTAGCTCATCTGAATAGCCCAAATCCATCAAACCATTTGAAGCCAGGCTTAACTTTCCATAATTAAATAAATTACTACATCTGTCCTGCTCCATCACTTGTGGACTAAGTGACATGAGTAGGTCTACTCACCTGCTTGTCTGAATCAGCCCTAGAATGTTAATGCTTGGCAGAACCAAGCCTCTAGGAGCACTCAAGATTCCCGTTAACATCACTTGCCTGCAAGCTCCTCAGGCATGGACTGCACCTACCTGCTATAGTGTCCATTTGACACAGTTCCATTCCAGTGAGTGACTTCAATCTGAGTGCTAAAAAAGTGGGAGTGTTGGATGTATTTATGTGTAGTTATACTTTCATGATTTCAAAGACTTCAGAACTCATCAGGATGAGAATATATTTTTAAGCAACGAGAAATAATAGCACTTAATAATTTCTTAGCTAGTATATACCTGATTTTGCTGATCTCTGAATAGACCCGAGACTTTTTTTTTAAAATCAGTATTGTCATAAATTCATCATTCAAATGTTTCAGTGCAATAAATCTTAAAAATTACTTATAATGTTAGAACACAAGTTTTCCAGATAAAGGCCTCAGGAATGTTTTATGTGATACAATGGCACGAAGAAAATACCACTACGTGCATCTAATTAAATAATACAGTATTTACATACTGTAAGGCAGGCAGAATAGACTAAAATAGGAGGATAAAAATCAAGTCAATTAAGAACACTAACACAGTAAGGTTCCTCAATATAAACAGAAAACAGTTGCTTTATCACTAGCAATTTACACATCAATACAGTCACAAAACCCAATTACTTCTGTAACCATAATTTCACAATTATTTATTATCAAAAATATAGCAGAATTCCACAAGGCAGTGCAAACACTTAGATGTCATTCACATACATTTCTCACCACTTTGAACCTTTGTTATTACTTACCTTTGTTGAATTTTTATTTCCTATGCAGTGGAGAAGTGGTTTGTGGGAGAGAGAGGAACATAAAAACTTTAGATGGGGAACTGTTATGATTCATCATTATTTCTAATGCATTAGAAAAACCTCAAACGAAATAAAAAAATGTTAAGAGTTCTAGCTCAAACCAAGGGAGAATAGCTTCTATTTTTATCTTTTTTAGAAACGGCATGATCACTATCCCCTTCTCAAGTTCAGAAAAATAGGTCAAACTATTATCAAGTCCTAATCCTATTTCCAGCACCGTAAGTCTTTTCAAGAAGTACATTCTATGAACAGTAACACTCAGAGAAGGAAAACAATAGAACTTAGTTTTCAATCAGTGAAGAAAATCAGTCACTAATCAAACAAATTAATACAGCACAGGTTTGCACACTGTGTATTTGGGCATATTTCACTTCAGTTTTCTGACAGGAAGTCATCTTCAACATCAGCTTTCCAGGTGCACTTGCACTGAGTGTTAGGCTGTGCCAGGTAAAGCACTGTGTATGTGCAAAAATTGACTTACCCAGGGAATGTCGGTATTTCAGCTACATCAATTCCATCTCTAAACAAGATCTGGTTTCTCAACAATGCATGAGAAAATTCCTTATAAACGCACTTTCAATTACAGAGTTAACCTGTTATCAGAACAATGGTAAACTGCTGGGTTTACCATAGCAGTAAAAAGTCTAAATTCATTTAAGTGTTGGATTAACCACAGGTTCTTCTGCTTATCTCAGACACTACAGGTCTGTGTCTCCTTCCTTCTTGAGTTTGCAAGTTTCTTTGTCCTAGGCAATCTCCAACTTCTCCATCACTTCAAATCTTTGGAAAAACAATTACTGTTCATCTTCCACATGATTTACCATGTCCAATAAAAATTTCATCTTGAGGATTTAATTAACAACACAGAGACAATATATACATATCCTCCTTACTATTTGTCACCTTTGTGATACTAATTTCTTCTCTGCCAAGCATTTTCTCCTGGAGATATAATTTACTTTAATCAAAAAAACCCTCACAGGATAAAAGAACAGACACATGAAAAAAATGCTTCCAAAATAGTTGTGCTAGAAGAGCAAGACTGTAAAAGAAGGGGAATAGATCAGTTGCAACACAGATAAGAACTTCAACCAGGCAAAGACCTTTTGAGCAACAGAACAAAGAAGCCTCTTGATTCAGTACAGTGTGTGCATTTGTCTTCCCTAGAAACTGAGTTGTCGATCATCACAACTGCTTTACACTTTTATCTGAGTTCAGATAACAAACATTTGATTCTCTTTATTTCATGATATTTGGCTGAAAAACTCTTGAGTAAGATTCGTAAGCTGTCCTCTGAAGAGAAAAGAGTTAAAATAATGAAGAATATGTAGTATTGGAACACTGATTTCCCAAGCAGTTCAATGCTTTCGATGGAACACCCTGAAGCACTAGTGTCGGATAATTTTTGTCCAGAGCTGCACAAGGGCATCGGCTGGAAAAAAGGTCAGTATAGGAACCAGAGAAAAAATTCATGTTTTCTTGCCTCCTGTGCAACCCATTCAATCTTCATGAATAGCTAAATGTCGGCAGCCAAAACTGAGCATGCACTTGTATCCTACTCTCCTGAAATAGACAAGCACCACTTTACACAACAAACTAAGGAATAGCATTCCATGATCAAAAAAGTGTGTAGGGTGAAAAAATCACCTGTGTGCAAGAAATCATAGCAACATTTTTGTCTCATTTAAGCTCCTCTTAAAATTGACTTAAATTAATTTTAAGTGATGTGTACTTTATTTGTTCATGCTTCAGACGAGGCAGAATTAAGAGAGTCAGACACAAGTCAGATTTGGAGTCAGGATCTATTAAGAGAGCTATTCCGTCTTTCAAGGCAAAGCACAGAAGAAAAGTTATTTAAAATTACCAACTACTATACAAACAAATACATACCCAAACCTTCTGATTCAAACAGGCAGGTATCATCTACCCCTACATCTCTGCACCAGGATAAGAAATTTGCTGTGTTGTCCCGTGCAAAAAAAGACCCTGAAGGAGCATTGGCTTTGCATGGAATCTTCCGTACTGGTAAGGTCTGAAAAACAAAAGTCTCCTATTTAGATAAGTGATACATGCTAGCGTAATACTTAAGTATTAGGAAATCAATATACAGGTTTTGCATAGATGGGTGACTGCCACCAATATATTTCCTTGTCCATTAAAGAATTCCAAGCAAAGAAGAATTAGAAGTGAATTTAACAGCATGAATTTGTCAACCACAAAGTCTTTTCGAAGTATCACGATAGGCTACACAATGTGAAGTTCAGAGCTGAATCAGTATTAGCAACTTCTTAGGAATATTAGCAACTACAAATTTTGGATTTAGTGTTTAGTCCAGTTCACTGAATTAAAAAAAAAAATAAATTATAAAGACAGACTTTAAACTAGGAACTGAACTTTCCCCAGATTAAGGACAAATTAGTTTCGGATGTATGTTAGGAGGGAATCAGAGCATAACGTGATGGGTCTTGAGGCCTAAAGACCGTAAGCACTTCAGAAGGGCCAGTGTCTCCCATTTAACAACACACGGAAGCCTCCTATCCACAACACAGAAATGTAATCTAGTAGCTACAAGATCAAGGTCTAACACAGAGCCAGGCTCTCATTGTACCAGAGCAGTTCCATTTACATCATTTTGGTATCAGAGGAGATGCTACCAACATAGCATATCAACATCTGAACCAGAGTAATTACTACAGCAAGCTTTTTGCTTGTATTGGTACATTTACTGAGATACATACAAAGAATACTTTAGCATTTAGTTCTCATTTAAGTTTTCTTTTCCTCAAATGAAAAATAGCCGTCATCCATGGCAAAATGAAGACAGAATAAAACATCGTTACTAAGTAATTTTAGAAATCTCTAAACCATGGAGGAATTCAGACTCCATATTGATTTGAATGTGCTGCTTTTCTAATGCCGATTTATGAAATATTTGCTTTTGTTCTGGAGTCAACAGTTACTCAATGGCAAGTAAGCTAAGAGGTAGAAAATTGAAAATGGTGTCTCTACTAGTTCCTAGATCTATGTTCAATATTCTGTTTTCAACAGTCCAAAACCAGTCCAGAACTACTCACCTCTGTATACCTGATAAACCAAATAAACTGCAAATAGAATGGCTACAGGGACAAACACCATTCTACTTATTTTATCAATATGTCAATGGGAGCTTATAAATTGTCTTAGACATACACACATGCCTTATAAATGTTTAGACCTATTCCTCAGATCACCATATAGCTCTCATTCTCCCATGATTCTTATTTCAATTGCACTTTTTTACATTAGGTTGTTTTGCAAAAATTTTGCTTGTTTAAAAATATTTACAAGGAGAAATTAATACTTTTCTAAATTGCATCAGCAGAAAACACTGACCAGTTTTACACGGTATTTTTTAAAAAAAATCCAAGTAAACCTTGTGTCACAGACACCACATCACCTCCTGGACCACCCTGGAAGAAGGGAAGGGAAGGAGGATGAAAATAGGGAAGTAAAGACAGCTATTCACTAAATGCAGAATAAATAAAAAACAATGAAACCTGAATTCTTCCAAGGCACTCTAAATATGGAACAACTTTACAGATCAGAGCAGAAGGAAGTTGTTAACTGTTATTTTAAATCCCTTTCCATTCTTCAGGGGGGCGGGGGGGCAGGTGGGGAGAAAGAAAGAAAAGTCCTCAGTTCCTCACAGATCAGGGCTGCTTTTTATTTTTTGCCTTTTTTTTAATTAGAAAAAAAAGCTGTTAGCACTGGACACATTTCTAGACTAGCATCCTTTTCATATGACAATGTCTTCAAAGAAACAATGAGTATATGTACCCTGAGGCAAATTCTCATTAAACTCTACAGACTGCTCCACAGGTTGAATTTCCCCTTGTGACTTACAGGCTTCAGGAAGGAGTAATGCAGCACTTGTCCATCTCTGCCCGCCCCCACACCCTTTCTCAGGAGATTTTAATTTGACAAGTCTAACAGTCTTAAAAGAGCACCCGCTTCTGTTAAAGGGAGTTACACAAAATTCTCTGGCAGCCTGCTGGAGGAAGGTCAACTAGTCCAGTCTGCATTCAGAGAAAAGCTGTCAAAACAAGCCTTTTGTTTCATGAATTTCTACTGAAGTCTTACACAAAACACTGCAAAAACCTTAAAGAAGTTCCTTCTTCAAAACAATTTCCCCAGGAAAGGTCTAACCTGACCTTACTTCCTCCAGTGCAGAAGAGGAACAAGCAGTGTGGGCAGGGATGCTTGACAGGCTGACAGCAGTGTGAAGCAAGATGAGGAAACAGGCAGGGAGCAGCAAGAGTTGGGCTGCTCCATGAGGGAAGATAAGCCAGGAGCCAAGGGTGACCCCAGCAGAGGCAGTGGCAGTCCCACAGCACCCGAGTAAGGCAGTGCTGGTGACAAAACAGCTTTAGCCAACTGTGATGAGATGAGGTCTAGTCCAGGAAGACAAGTCAGAAACAGCAGAAGACAAGGCTGGATGCAATGCTACAGCAGAAGCTGAGGCTCCAGCCACAAAGCCCAGCCAGCAGGAAGCAAGGCCAGAGACAGTCTGTCCACAACGCAGCTCAGGCAAGAAGGGCTGAGGTCAAAGGGAGCTCCTAGGCCATGGGCAGAGAGGGCAGGTTGGGGTCCCAGGTGAGGCTGGTCACCACTATTAAGCTATTTTGGTTCCCTCAGGTTTTGACAGCAACTATTCTGTGGTTTTTAGCGTTTCAGTGGAATCAATCCCTTCAGAAATACATAGCTGGTTTATAATCTGTCTTGTCAGTAGATTCAAAGAGGTGCCATTTCATAGCACTGTATCTTAATCTAATTATATACCGTACATCCACTGTACATACAACATACTTGATCGTATTCTCGCAGAACCAGATTACCAGTGGCTATAAATTGGTTTAACACCATTAAAATCAAACAGAATTAAATTCTTTTCCCATAATACTTCTTCTTGGACTATAGTATCTGAAGCGATACATGGATGTTGAACCAGCTGAGTTAACAGGTCAACGTAGGGAGACCAAACAAATTATATCTGACAAAACTATATTCTTTAGAATTGTGGAACGACTATGTCCAATTTAGAGCACAAAACCTGGATGACCTTATAATGGATTAGCAGCACTGTGACAGGAACAAGATGACAAGAAGCCAGAACCACTATTCCTGGCACTTGCAAACTTGTCCATAAGCTACTTCAGAGAGCATGGAAAGGAGATTAGGCTACAGTTACTTTTTGTGTGAAAGTAGACCTGTAGCATCAAATCATGTCACCTCCCAGTTCACTCTTCAGTTCTCATCTCTGGATTCTCCACAGTGCCTATACGTTGCTTTGCCCTCAGGCTCTCCTTTGCAGAAAATTAGCGTGTCTTCTCCACCACAAAAACTGTTTATAACCCCAGGAACAGCTCGGAAGGGCATTACAGGTGAAATCATACCGGATTTGTTTCCTTCCACTCAGTTCTCCAACTCCAGCCCAGACTATGCCTTCGCTTTGTCCTGCCACATCCCCTGATAACCAGCCTATATTCTTTCATGTCGTACTAAGGGTATTAAACATTGTTCTGGAAGTCTGTGATAAAACCCTCATATTATTTCAGGAAATGAGAACTAGGGAAAAAAAAAAAAACACAACACAAAAAAAGAAATTTTGTGCTATATGGTTGGTGACTGCCCTCTGGCAATATGGAAGTCTGTGATAAAACCCTCATATTATTTCAGGAAATTAGAACTAGGGAAAAAAAGAAAACACAACACAAAAAAAGAAATTTTGTGCTATATGGTTGGTGACTGCCATCTGGCAATCAGAGGAGACTTGGGCCCAGCGAGGGCACAACCAGTCTGCTCTACTTGGACCTGAGCAAGTCTGCAGCATTGGTCCTGGGGACCAGGAGCTGCTCCTTGGCCCAGATGCCCTCAGCAAGACAAAAGCAGCTGGAAGTGAGGAGATAAGCAAGAGAATCTGCACTGCTTTTCTTTTAAGGGACTATTGGGAAGACATTGCAATGCCTGGCAGGAACACAGAAAACTCCAGTTTTCCCCTGGGTCGCTGCTGCTCCCCAATACTAACAACATGTGAATAAATCTCATCCTAAATATTTTATGTCTCCTGATTTAGGTAGATTGTAATGACTGCATACAGAAACGCTTTCAAGAAAAGCAATTCAGAACAGATGGTTTATGTGTCAGAAATCTATGCAGTTAGAGTCAGCAAATAAACCATCTAAAACTTCATGCATGTAACGGACTATCCATAAATTATGCTTCTATACTCTGACAACTAAGACAGACTTCTAAACACATCAGTCAACCTAGTTTCACTATGAGGCTTAGACATTCATGGAGCTTGCAACATTTCTTTTACAATTATAAATATTACAGTGTCTTTTAGAAGTACATATTGGTAGTAACAGCTACTGACAGCAACTAGTAAGAGTCTAGGCACAGAACTATCACACTTAACTAATCAAACTTGTGATATTCTCCAGTTTCATACTGACAGAAAAATGTCTGATTAACAGGTGCCCTAAACAACTCAGAAATGACAAACACCGAAATGTGTTTGTGTGACACTAAGCATGTCCTAGACTACAGAAGGGAAAAAAAATCTACATTATTGAAGGGAGGGCGGGGGGAAGCTTTAAGTCATTTTATGGAACAAATACTACATAGATAAATATCCCTGGCATCACATGATCTCACTAACGTAGCATTCTCTATTTCATCCCATTTCCCACAGTATTACAGTCTTGCTGAAGAGAACAGCAAAAAAACCTCCTCTCCATTCAACAATAGCATGGTCAGGTTTATCACAGGAATCATAGGGAAATACTCATATTTTCTTATCACCTAATAAATTTCCCTACCACCTTTTAAATAGAAGTCTACATTTTTAATATTTCCAAAACTATCAGTGTAATGTTAAACCTATAACACATGAAAGCTCTTATTTAAGAAAGGTTTCATGCACAAATATTTTTTACTGATTTGTATAAATGGCCTATCTCAAAAGTGCTTTCTAACAGATCATTCTGAAGT